CAAGTGCCTGTGACAGATGGCGCAAGTTATAAATGCCATTCTCCTGCAATATTGCCAAGTCGTTATGTCATCTGAATGGTTCTAGGAGCTGATTGGTCGGGCTTATTACGTCACGAGCCCGCCACATTCATATCGTTTTGAATAAACCTTTAAAACCGTTCATGTTCATTATTTTTTTGCTAATCAGCCTCTATTTTTAAATAAACTTTTACTGTCCAAAAAAATGTTTTATGGTTTCAGGTACACGCTTATTAAATTAGAACTGCGGAATTCAACTATACTGTAAACCCCCATTGTTGTACAAAACATTTTGTTGTTATAGGTATAAGGTATGCCATGCGACCTTTCGTTGGAAAGCTGTCGATGCTGCATTGAATTGTGTCATCCCGATCCATTTCGGCCTTATTCGTTTGTTAAAATAACTGAAAGTTTTTTCAACGGATTTGGTTTTGTCACGAAATTGTTGTGGAAGGGTGTACCTATAGTCAAGGGTTTGTGGATAAAAATGTTCATGGCACTCTATTGAATGGTTTCAGTCGACCATTGGAAAGCTTTTTAAAACCCGCGTCATAATGCATCACAACATTTTCATTTCGTTCATCTTTCTACGAAAACCGTTCACCTTAGATACCTATTGGGATTTAATTAAAAATTGTCCTCATGTTTCAGTGTAGAATCCATTGTCGCAAAGAAAAAAGAGATTTCAACTTGAAAATTTTTTGCATTTTTAAAACTTTTGAATGTGTTATGAATATCTGTATATTTTTTTTGGACAGGTAACGACTACAATCTAGTTAAGCAAATCCTAAAAATACATCTATACCTTGTTCTTGATAAAAAAATGTCGAAATAACTCGAATATGGACCATTGGATTTTACTCAAAATACCAGAAATATTTTTGAAATTATCCAAATTTCCTTGGAAATTCCTATGATATGCACGAATTTTCATTTAAATTCTGATATTTTTGGAACTTTCTTAATACTTATAGCGTGTAATTTAACAGTTAGTTACATCGTTGTGCAATGGGAGGGAATGAGGTACTTTAGGTTTATACTCAATCAGCTTTTAACGCTTACTATATGCAAAAACCGAAAAAAGTTATCTTATCTGAAGAACGTTTATTTTCAGTTTTCAATTTGAAAGTCAAAAGTTTCAATTTCAAGTCACGATTATAAAGAACGTAAAAAAATTACCTCACACTATACCTACATTGAAATCCGCCCTCGGATTTTGAGATTTTAGCTTTCAAAGTGAGCGGACTGGAGATTTTACTCCGACGATGTTTCCAGAATATTCCTTTGGGCCTGATGAAAGAGAACAAACTAGGGTGTGGTTCATTGCGTGATACGATAAAGGAGAACACCCATATAATAGAAAGAAAACTACATTGTGTTGTACAAACGTACATGGATTGCATCGAAATTTCCTCGATACTTTCATTAGCATTCTCATAAAGAAACCAAACTATGTACGCATTTTCACTTTACCCTAGCTACATAACTTTCGGAGTGAATTCTTCGATACAAAAGATATTAGTAATGCGAAGAATAAGTACCCCCTGGTAGAAAATAGACCAAAAACACAAGTCCAAATCTCCAGAATGTATTACATTGATGAGGAGTGAATAGGTGCTTAATCTCCATCAAAGTGGCAAATATTTTGACTTATAAACTATGAAAAGTTATTGCTTGTTTAAGCTAAATTAAACAGCGTTTAATTCCACTTTTACGGCTTGAAAATAATTTTCCTGTAAACATTAATAAAAGAAAAGAAAACGTTCACAAGGCACGTTCACTTTATAAATAATTTACACTCCATTAAATTAATTTAAATATTCTACAAGCCGCATGTAATACTTATAAAACCTACCACAATTCCATTAGGTTCGAAACGTGTAAAAATTGATATTAATTTTACTATCGTTATTAACGCAATAAAGTAGGTACCTATGCTTGTTATAACTGTAAGAGATATGAATATGAATGAGGGCTTTTATTTGTTTCGCTGTTAAATTTCTCGATTTATTTGCATAACGACATAAAATTGTGCCAAGAAATGTCATAAATAGCAACAATAACTAAGCTGAACTATTTAGCCTATACCAAGCGGAGGATTTACAAGTCTGCGTTTCAAAGAGAAATCTTTTATTTTGTTAATTTAAAAGGCTAGAAATGAATTAATCCAAATACAAGTAGGTACAATTGTTTTAATCGATGACGCATGACCAAAATGTTAACCCCGCGTCGATTTCATTTGGATAATCATGTCAATTAGCGGATCTACCTATAGCATGTTAATGATGCTTTGTTGAAAGCCTTAGTGTCACCTTAATAAAGTAAAAGTGTGAACGATACAAAACTGGGGTACTAATTTTTGCACAAAGTACGTGATTGGAAATCTGTAGGTATATATAGATACTTAGAAATTTTCATTTTTAGACGACTTGATTCGAAAATGACACATATCAATATTGTAGCCTACCTTAGAAAGTTAACAATTGAACATACTGATGTGGATATGAAATTTATCATGCACGGTGCGTGATAAGAGTTAGAGAGGTTGTTTTCAGTCAGCTAGAAATTCAGTTTGATGGAAGCTTTACTGGATTGTCAAATAATAATCAATTACATATAAATGATTTCGGTTCATTACGACACAATTCGCCAAAATACGCCAGCAAAACGTTTTCCGAAAATGACGATTTCACTTGGGATATCTTGCGCCATTCCATAAATTTGGTGTATGCATCTTCGTAACGCAGTCGCGATTTCGTTTGGAGCAACACCAAAGTATTCTCGCTGGCCGCTTCAACTACTGATGGTGGTGTGAGTTGTAAACATCGTCTTCTTTATCGCTCTCCATTTTACGCACCACTTAAAATTCGTTTTAGTAATAATCGCTGCACTGTATGACAGAACTAGCAAAACAAAACAATTAGCAATCCATAGCAACCCGCGGTCGTACCCAACCAACACAGTAAAATTTAAAAAAATGGCGTAACATATTCTTGAAATATTAGGGATACTAGTGAAAGCTTTTATTGTTCAAGTCGTCTAAAAAATAGTGTTCACAACTCGTGTTGAAAGTGACTATCATGCTCATGCTTATTAGCCAAACTCGGCTTCGCCTCGTTTGTCTAACGGCACTCGCATGATATCAGTCACTTTCGACACTCATTATGAAATATACTATTCCAGCTAGATACGTGAACTGAATTGTACTTTTCAGTATTGTAGGAAATGACATTTCTATACCAAGGCACTGAGCTGATATAACCCACACAAGGCGTTAAATTACATCTCATTTTTTTGCACTCACCTAACAAAAGCAATGCAGAAGAATATCAATTAAACTGACCGCAATTGGCGATTTAGTTGATGGGAAGTGGGGAAAAATCATACTTTCTAAGCAGAACAAAACGTACCTATGTTAAGTGTTTGAGTTTAGAAATGAACTCACAAGCTTTTTCGCCCCCCCCCCCCCCCCCAGTCGCAAATCTTAGTTTTGAACAAGAAACAGGATATGCCTGTAGTGAGGTACGTAGGTGAGAAAAATAAAAACAAATTTAACATTTTCATTTATTCGGCTGAAACCTGCTACTAAGATCATCGAACCTTCCAAACAAGGATTGGTAAAAACACCTCACAAATTAAAGAAATAAGAGCAGGAGTAACACAGGGGAGTGTCCTGGGACCGATGCTATACGCTCCATGTGGACCTCAACATTTCATACGTGAAAGACATAATCAAAAAGTACGCCATTAACCACCAAACAAAATGGAAATATATCCGAATAAGAGTCTTCCACCACTGACAGAAAATCCCCAAATTAGACGTCTACAGAAGAAGTTGCCAAAAGACCTACCTGTTGAAAGTTGAAAGACTTCACTGAGAGTTAGTCTACCAACCAAGTCTAGTTCGAATGCACAAGATTAGGGCATATAATGCTGTATTATTCTGAGTGCTAAATAATATTAAATAAATAAAGTTTTTCGGTGATATTTCAGTTATTTTCAAATGTTTTTCAAAAATTTGAAACTCGTTTTTTTAGTTACAAAAAGGGGCAAATATGCACCCATTTGTTCTGCACAGTATCTTACCGTTGCGGAGATCCCAATATAAATCGTAGAATAGAAAAGATAGCACAAAATTAGTATAAAAATTAGGAACCAAAGAATTTCAAATTTTAAAACTAATACCTATACATATGTATATGCGGGTGAATGGGTTCCCATTTACAAAATTTAATTTTCAACTGAAAAACCACAAGAGCACAAAGTTTATCTCATAAGGTAGACAAAATTGCACAAAATGACCACAAAATTGGTACATATTCAAAAAAATTCCAATTTTTCAACAGCCAGTAGGTATATACCCCAAATTCGAGTCCCATTTTAAAAATTCTATTCACTAGAAAACCAAGAGTCCAAAATTATTTCCACGTATTAAGACATCCCTTACTTCTCCCTTTCCTACTGAAAGTTCATCGATTAAAGTATTAAAATGTTCTTTTTACACCTTGAAATGCTAGCCATAGAATAACTCGAAATTAATTAAAACAAGAAAATTAGGTGCAGAATGGCGTTAACGGGAAGATGAATAACAAATTTTAATAATGCGAATTTATTTTATGCAGAAAAATACTTACTGAATATTTTTTTGTCACCATTACCTGTCCTAAATAAACGTAATTAACAGAAACGATTGAACTTGGAATAAAATACGTCGATAAAATGCGGAAGTCTGGTGGTCTTGATGCACTTGGTCAAGGCCGCAATTAATACCTACTTGCTGTCTTTTTGTAGAGTTCCTGCACAGAGACCTGTCGCACAATAAGGTCACGCGCCTTATAATGCTTGAAATTGAGATTGTATAAGGAACCAATTGGCATTATCACCATATGCGATCACAATGTGTAATTACAATTGATACCAATTCCCACCACAAACTATGGGGCAACGTGTGGAATTATTTTAATTTGATGTTACTCTTACAGACAACATGGCACTTCGAGTCACCTTTCGAAAAACTTTGAGGATATTTTCCACTGTTTGTCTGCTGTTAACGCTGAAAATGGTACGTCCGTGCATGCCAGCAGAAGAGAATCACCATTCAAGACAAAAACGTATATTATGGATCACCAGCGATGGTCGTCTCGCGTTACCTCCAGGGACTAGTCTAGTCATTTCGCCATCTTTATCTCTACCATTCATTCGTTATCCACCTGATGGTTTCTTGTCGAATTTATCAGTTAGCTTACCTTTTACCAGTAAGGCTATTGTCGACCATTGCCATTATCTAAGTTCCGTCTTTTTCAGTTGACTTCGATAAATTAGGCTTGACAGATAACGAAAACCCTTACGGAATATTGCCGGATATATTAGCAAGATCAATGGGTAGGGCGGCTGGAGGAATCGTGGCCGACTACATTGGTGCGTTTATCACGCGTAGAAGGAACAAACGATTTGCAAACGAAAAAAACCCGGATCTACCTGCAGGGCTTAAGGATGCTTTCCACGGTGGTGAAAGAGCGCTCCTGTACGCGGTTATCGAAGATTTTTTAGATAATTTTGGGTTGAACGGTAAGGCATGCCTTCTTCGTGCGATATGCGAAGTGCAGGCCCATCCGTTACGTAACTTTGGGCTGATTGGAGAAGGCCTCAGACTTTTCTTAAGGTGAGTCTAATCTAATTGGTAACTAACGTTGTATTATCATGCCTATCTTTCAGCGCTAGCAAGTCTCCCTTCGCCAGTCTTCTAAACGAATATGTAGAAGCCGAGAATGCCGGTAAAGGCAAATCTGGTGCATCCGAGTGTTGGCCTTACATGAAGGACTGTTCAAAATCCCTATTTCAAGCGCGACACAACCCCTACAGTAAACTAGAAGACAGTCATCCAAACGAGGAGTATGGAAACGACGTTGAGGAAATAGACGGTAAAATTGTTTATAACTCGGCTGTAAAGAATATGTGAGAAGTGTAGACATTTATTGATATTGGGGCATCAAAGTATCTGGGACGTTCCACAGTTATTATTTATAATAAATTAATTTATGTGTATAGTTAGGTAATTGTTAAGTTTGAACGTAGTCATTATTTATTATTTATTTATGTTACTTTGTACATGTTATATAGAGCTGTGATTGAATAAACGTTAGTTTTGTGTAGAAAAGTAGAATAATATATTTTTAGTTAGAAATTAGGTAAATGAATTACGTAGGTACGTGATCGATGATTGTCAAAGAAAAATCATGAAGTACACCAGTGCAGTAATTGTTATGCATTAGAGTAGATCATGTAACTAACTGTTGATATTAAACGTTGTTTACTAAAAGTTTTGCTTTAACGCACCAAATTTGAAAAAAGCAGAATATTGGAACAGTATATACCGAGGTATATACAGTATGTAAACTAAGTAGGTTCACCCCGGTAATTTTGGTAGAAATAGTGATACAGATATAAAATTGCTTATCTAAAAGTGAGCAAAAATTTCAAAAATGATTCTGTAGACAATTTTACACCTTATAGGTACCTACGTTGTTTGCGATAATTTAATTGATCAAAAAGGAGTTCCACTAACAACTTACAATGATGCACACAATTTTGAGAGGTGACAGTCAGGCAATTTTTAAAGGAAGAGAGTGGTCTGCGCCATCTCGAGAGCACCAACTTAGTAAAGGTAGTAATCTTTGCATTTCTTTGTAATGTAGTGTACATTGTGTACATATTTGTGTTTTGTAGGTAGCATTTTATATTTTTTGTGAGTTTCAGTATTTGTTCCTGAAATTCGATTGATTTAACCTCAATCCAGAATCATGTGTTTGATACCTTTAACCTTTTTGTTTGAAATCGCGTTCATTTTTGGTGTAATGATTGCTAAATGTTTCGATTGCATGGTCTTAGATGTATATTTTTGATAATTCTTTTAACCATGTGGAAATTATCGAATTATTTGAAGTAGATCTATGTACGGACTTGCTCTTTGTAAACTGACACTTTTCTCTGTCAATAGACAGTACGAGACCTTATCTCGGGATTGCTTTCGATTCGTAACTACAGAGGCTGGGACCCCCTGCAAGCAGGGCCCATGTTACCCCTCTGAGGAGTCAGACTCTGCTGGCACAAAACTCTTCGGTTTCGAATCTATGTGCGATATGAGTTTCGACTCACGTACTCATTCCCACATGTTTCGTAGTTTTAAATGCTGATCCTATAAGGCCATATAATTTTCCATCTTGCTTGTAACAGAAGGGTTTTATTGCATCAAAGACGAGTCACCTGTTTTTCAGCTACTTTTTTTGTTACCTGCTTGTACCCCAACCAGTCCTTTGTTTTGCAACTAGCATTTAAAATGTTTTTTTGTATCATGTTTTGTGTACCTACGTGATTTATATTAGTTGATTAATTAATATACGAGTAATTGATGTCTTTACCCTCCAAAAGTGTGCGGCAAAGGTTTCCCAAAGTGGCCAAAGTCAGTACCTACATGGTTGTAATACACCATTACTCTCTTATATTTACAGTTAATAAACATTGATAAACATTTACCGCAATAACACCGGATTTACATAACGACCATAAATCCACGTGTCAACGTCGGCGAATATTAACAGCCGTTTAAAGTTAATACACTTCGGATTCCCGCGACCATAAAAATTATGAAAAGTGCTCGTCCGAAAAGCAATGAATAAAACAACGGTTGGAAAAAGAAAGAAAGATTTGTGAGTAAACGTACATAAATCAACGTACCTATAGAAATTAGTACCTATAACGATGACTATTCAATTCATCTAACATTTGTCACATTTCGACCAGTGAAATGTCGACATTTCAAATTGTTGAGCCAATAGGAACGAATTATAGTGATAATTTCACGTGTGGTATTTCAGCGATTATATCATTCATATGACATTGAGCCAATCAAAACTTCCACTTTCCTTAGATACCAATGCATTAATAAGCGATTATACCCTTGACGACGTGATATAATCGATTTGGTGTTTTCGCTATGTCATTTAAAGTCAAATCTAGTATACACTATATTTGATGACAATAACAATAACTGTCAAAATAAAATTCTATTCATTATATAATCGTGTCGAATACCACTCGAGCATTACAAAATAATTTTTATACTACCTCGTAACTCAACGAATAATCCGTTGAAACACCACTCGACCTTCGGTCTCGTGGTGTTTCGGATCATTCGTCTCGTTATTCGGTAGTATAATCGATTATTTTGTATGCTCTTGTGATATTATAATTGATAATTTCACGTGTGGTATTTCAGCGACAATTCAATGCGATTATTCAATGACATATTTGTCAAACTTCCACCAGTGAAATGTCGCGAAATTTTGTCGTATTAACCAGAACATTCTTCTTAGTTTGTTAATCAATTTCGACAACCGATTTATCACCACATCTTTTAATTTAATCACTCATAACGAATTAGCTTGGAGCACAAAAGTTCGAATAGAATCAATAGCAAAATGAAAAGCAACTTCCATAATTTATTTTGACGTTTATTGTTGTCATGGAAATACATTCGCGTGGGTAATTATGCTTAATTTTTCTTTTGATTCATTGAATAGTCCTCCGAATACCATTCGTAGTCGAAGTATTTGTAGATTATTTTTGAGCTGCTGCTCCACTAGCATTCGTGACAGCAGCTCAAAAATATTCGACAATACTTCGACTACTTATGGTATTATATATGATAATTTTGTTGCTAATTAACACATTTTAATTATTAACGGTCACCGTGCAGTCTTTTGCAGAATTAATCGTCCTCGAATATCGTATATATAGAAGATCTTCATAATAGCACTTGACTTTTTTTCCTGCAAATGAAATGCACCAGCCTGATTTGATATACCTAGTGGTACCTACCATTCCACATGTACAACAGTCCAAACATGATTATTCCAAACCCTGTAATGTGAGAGATTGGAATAGACCGCAATAATCTCATACTCGAATTAATTTTGTTGGACGTAATCCTAGCTACTCATAGTGTAAATCCTCCCCCTATATACAATCGCAGTAATGGTCAACTACATAATAGCCTATTATTTTTAATTATTATTAATAGGTAATTTTAAAGAAATCTCGAGGGAATAGTACAATTCCTAACTAAAGTTATTGTACACAAAAGAATTGGATTATCTTAATTGTTTCATTTTTGCGTATAATTACCCGAAAAGCAAATATATAACCTATTATTACACGAAATGAGTCTATTCTTTTGATGTATAAGATAAAGGAAATAAAAATAACAAACGTATATGTTGTATTGTATGACAACATCCTTTAGATTTGCAAATGAACCTATATTTTGCTCACAGTAAAGATACAAAATAGGTTTTAATCTGCGAAGTGCGACAAAACGTGTATACTTACACACGTTCATTATTACCTTTAAGTCCATACATATTGTTGTCTAATTGTTATTTTAATCTAATGTACAGTGTGTTCAAGATAAGAATGATCACTTCGGAAGAATAAACCATATTCGTTTTTATTTTTTTACACTGTTTGAAAAGATATCAAAAAACTTGTATCTTTATGAACTGCTAAGCTCCCAGCTATCCGCTCCGGGTGTTTTTACTATCTCGTTCTCTCACAATGTATTATATTCTGAAGCCCTTAACAATTTTTTTTATCAGTGATGGTTAATTGTTGCTATGTTACAGCTACAGATGAAAAATTACAGGTTAAATCAATACATTACCCGCCCGAACAAAAACGTATGTTCCGCCGCTGTGCCAATTACAATTTTCATATCGCTTAAGTAGAAAAAAAGGATGATTAATATAAAATATGTAGCAACCGAAACAGTGATTGAGTGATTAATGCTAGTCTAAATTTAGTACCTTATCAGGTCGCAACAATTAAGAGATCGCCATCCGTAGGTAGTTAGATTATTTGATATAATTGGCAACATTGTCACACCTGACATGAAGGTTTTTCTAACCTTAAATGTAAATAATAAATAATTATGTATCCAAGAGGAATAATGTGAGACCTTTTTAACTTTTTTTTCAAATTCGTTTAGAATGTCGCGTAATCCATCAACTTTGATGAGTATTCCCAGCGATGAACAGTTTGACTTTTTATTTAAAATAGTTCTCATTGGTGACTGTGGTACTGGGAAAACCTGCGTTGTGCAAAGATTTAAAAATGGAACTTTCGTGGAGAGGCACGGTAATACGATCGGTGTTGATTTTTCTATGAAAACCGTTATTGTTGAAGGAAAACGAGTTAAGGTAATTAATCCAAATTAAATTACTGTATTTATATCCTCTGTGACCTAGTTACAAGTTTGGGATACGGCGGGACAGGAAAGGTTTCGTACAATCACTCAGAGTTATTATAGATCTGCAAACGGTGTTATTATCGTTTATGATATTACGAAGAGATCTTCTTTTTTATCTGTAGCGAGATGGGTCGAGGAAGTGCGGAGATATTCAGGTAGTGCTGTCTTAGTCGCCTTAGTCGGAAATAAGGCAGATATGGAGCATTTACGCGAAGTTGAGTTTGAGGAAGCCGAAGCAATGTGTCAATATATGCCGGAAGTTTTATTTGTTCTGGAAACGAGCGCCAAGGATAACTCAAACATAGAGGAGGCATTTTTATGTTTAGCCACTGAACTTAAGGTAGGAATACATTGGGTTCAATAACCAATTTGACCAATTTTTTACAGAGACGCCATGATAGTGGCAACTTAAATTTAGATGATGAAGATACAGTGCGATTAGGCGAAGGTCAGACTATTTCCAGGTGTAGCTCTTGTGCAAAGCATAACATATTCAATTAAACATATCATCGTTACACCTTAACATAACAATCCTGTGCCTTAATCAAGCTGAGATTATGCTTGCCATTTTAAGGATAGTTAGTACAATAAATGCACTAATTTTTTAATATTTACCTCATAAGTAAGTACTCTTTTTACTTATCAGTCCATCTCGCTAAATCACCATCCACTGGCCTACTCCTTTTATGGCAAACGTAAATTAGAGAGCTGCAATATTTATTTTATTTTATTTATTATGCGCAACAATTTGCTCCGTATCTGTTCACATATGAATTTATTACAAGTCCCAGTGAATCTTAATTTGTAGCTTAAGTAAAATATTAACAAACTTCTTCCGTCTTTCTCTCTATCTGTTGTGAAGCGCTAGTGAATTTTCGTGGAATCTCACAGTTACTCATTGGTTACATCAGTATTAATTGTTTACAAATTTTATGCTTTAACACTCATTAATGTAGATTTATTTTTATTGTTACTTTCGTATTAGTGTTAACATCATATATTTAAATAATACATACATATTAACATTTCACGTTCATTAATAAAAGTTATGTGTGATGTTTGTTTTCTCTTTTTTTTTTAATTTGAGATTTGAGGTACAGGGTGATCTGTTAGTAATCTCACAACCAATATGGGATCAAATCAAATTTGTAATTCAACCCTATGAAATTACAAGTGTTTGTTGTGCATGTGAAGTTGGCTTCCTCATTTGTTAAATTCGATTGCGTGTTCCTGATACTAAGTTAACTCAAGATTAGGAAATTGTCTAATGAGGTTTTTGGCTGGAAACTAATGATAATAATAATAAAGCTATGTATAATTGCCCTGTAGCAGATTGGAGTTCTGATCGTTCTGGAGAGTTCCTGAATAGTTCTGAAACTTTTCGTGATCGATTTTTGTGGTAAACCTTACAATTAAGAAGTTTTGAGTATTTCATTGTATAGGAAAATACTAATACACATTTTAGGTTATGTTCTCCACTTAATTTCTATTTAAAAAGGGGATGGATCCTACAATTCTAATGATTCTCTATAACTGTGTTTCATGTTGAAAGAATACAATTTATACCTATGCAGGCTTTTTTAACCTTTGTCGTTGGGGATGTATTTGGTATTTTTGGTTGAATTTTAAACTTCTATATAAAGAGTTATGAGTGGGCTCTTAAATTTTTTATAATGAAATTTTTTATTTAAAACTAAAATTATGAAATTATGAAAATGGTTTATATGATTAATGGCCGTTTGCACCGAGAAATTTAAGTCAAGATTAAGCTTAAGGCCATGCATTTTAGGCTCCGCTTAAATTTGTGGGTGCAAACGGTCATTAATGATATTTCACACGTTTTTAAAAAAGAAAATAAAACTTACTTTTGGTCGAACCAGCTTGTGCAAGTGGAGGCAACCTAGCTGTGGCGGTCGACCGAATAATGCGGAAATCTTGAGACCCACCAGGAGATTTCAATCCTCGCCCTGGTTAAGGAAACCGGTTTCGGAACGTAAATTCAGAATCCACGAGTACCCAGACGGAGACGGAAAACTCTTGGGATCTTAATTCTGGCAAATGGCGACCGTTACTGGCGAAAATCTAGAACAAAATCACGTGGCACCCCGCACCCGGAAGTATAGCAGGTTCCCAAATTGGAACGGAACCACAAATATAACTAGTACTTACTAGCTACGGGAAAACGTACCCCCTTTTATGCAGAATGAAAATATCAAGCGCTCCCCTTCAAATTAAGCGGGACGTTCAAATACAAAATTTACTAAAATTACCCTCCCTAAATCATGCCGTTGCCTTACATAAACTTTCCAAAATACGGAAAGAGAACGTTCGGAAATTCCGGCCGGCTGGCGTACCTATACTTGGTTGATAATGGTCAAAAATTAAAACAACGGATCCGTGTTTGGCGGCATTTCTTTATTTTTACTTCTAAACAAAATTAACTTATTTCTTCCTGGTTTTTTTTTACGTTTATGGTTCCTAAATTTTGGCGGACGTGGGAATCTGTTCTTCTCTTAAAAAGGCGTGAGTTCTCAAAAATAGTAATAGAACCGAGTATTTGTCTGGTTGTAGGTTGCCACAGGATCACGGACCTCTTAAAAATTAAGAGGTCCGTGCACAGGATACATATTCGTTATTCGTCCAGGGTATGCAAATTATTTTTTCTTATGGTGGTCAATTATACACAAGGTATACTTACCCGCCACTTTCACAAGCATATACTGTATTCTCATGAGGCATCTACTGCACTTTAGACGGACTTTGACCATTTCCATTGAATTTCTATAAATTCAATGCCTTTGCCATCCGTTTCCTTTTGGATTGCTGATCGCTGCTAAAAACTACAGATAATTGAATGCGTCTTTTGTATATGTCAAAAGTAGAATTGTGAGGTTACGTTGACGATTTTCATATATTGATTTACACAATATTAAAATAATTTTTCCCACTGAATTGTTATTAAAAAAAAATGATAGAATCCTGTCCAAGAAAACGCATGCTTTTGGGTATAACAGCGCTTGGAGCGTAAAGTTAAACCATGTTGCAAATTTTAGTCCCCTAACCTCACTTTTTAGATTAACAATTTTCGTTTTAATCGCGGAATCGCACTGGACACAGCAGACTAATAACACCAGAAAACGGATATTTCGAGTGGAGCAAAACTCGACTTGTTTTGAACGGGAGAAATACGAAATTATTAGCGAATGTCAGCCATGCACAGGTATCTTGTAGCACTCCGTCGACACGTTTTCTTAGTGTAATTTTTTCAGACTTTGAAATTACTAGCAAAAGTATCGGGGTGTGTATACACACACATTACAAAGAGGTGTTGAAGTGTGCGAGTGGGGAAATGGTGACGAGAAGTTGTGACAAAGTTGCTTATATTGAAGAACAGAAGTTTTGGAAATTTGAAAGCCTTATGTTTGTACCCGCCTTACTTTCAACTATTTCCGTGTACATTAGAAAGAACGTGTTGTATAAGAGAATGGTGCAAAGAGTACAAAGACAGTTGGCAAGTAGCGTTTAGTGATGGCTGATATATACATAGAAGCGGGTGTCAACAAGGATTTGCTTGCTGTAACTCTAGAAAGTTTGATTACAATTCACGTTTATAAACTCTGCAATAGTAAAGAGATTACCCTGAACGTTGTTCTCTCTGAAAAGCTCAACTGTGATCATAAATGTTTGTTTCAAATCAATTTAAATGAAGTTCAGTTCAAGAAATGTGAGGAACAACCGGCGATCGCCCGCTTTTGTAAATGGCCTGCAGTTGTGGCAGGTACGAGTGTTACTGCTGGGTTATCATCCGTGTGTCGCTTAATTATTAAACTGAGTCGCAATCAAAAGGCTCTACCATTACTCGGTTTTCGGGAGGCATGCCTAATGGCTTGCAACGAAGTCTCCATTTGGACAAAGTTCTGTGAAGTTGATATGATCAACACAATTAAAGATTATTTAACTTCCCCCGAGAATTACATAAAGAATGATTCATTTTATGTGCCGATTGATGTTTCTCGCTTTGAAAACCACATGTCTGAGCCAGTAAAAATTCACAACGTATATAAAATGGCCAGATTGAAGAATAACAACAAACTTTTAAGTAGCACAGTACCCGTAGATCAGTTGAATATCTCTCACAAATTTGCAGAAGGTCCTCACATTACACTATCAGATGTGCTGTTATTCCCTTGCTTCAAAATTTTCTTCAAAACTCTTGGTAACTCTTTCGAATCGCTACCCTTAACTTCAGCGTGGTATCAAAGTGTAGCGGACGAACTGAAGGAGTTTCAAATAGACTTTAGTTACCCTACATTTAAAACTTCGTTACTTGACATGAATATAGTACAATTTCCCATTGTAAAGAAAAGCTTGTACATCTCTGATCCCAAAAGATACAACCCCCAAAGTCGTATGTTCACCAAACAGTATAATATTGAAAAAGTGTTGCACGAAAATAAAGAATTATGTGATGCAATTACAAGTCGTGAAACTCCATTTGGTGTCGACATACCCTTTTCTTGGGATGACCTCCCGTTAGATGCAAGTCCAGAAAGTGGCGCCCTACCTGAATCTAGAGCGGTGCGAAAGTGCCAGCAGCTGGAAAACTTGGCAAAGGCCACTGTGAAGGTAACTTCACTAAAAAAAATTGAGACAATTGTCGATTTTTGTAGTGGTAGTGGACATTTGGGTATATTAGTAGCTACTCTTCTTCCAAATTGCCATGTCATATTAGTTGAAAATAAAGAAAGGTCCCTGAAGCGAGCACAGGAACGAATCTCAAAGATGAACTTGAGTAATGTCAGTGTGGTGCAAAGTAATTTAGATTATTTCAATGCACGGTTTGATTTGGGCTTGGCCTTACATGCTTGTGGAGTTGCCACAGATCTTGTAATACAAGCGTGCATCAGAAATAAAGCGGACTTTGTTTGTTGTCCCTGTTGTTACGGTGGAATTCATAATTGTCATCATTTATCCTATCCGAGAAGTGAAAGGTTTCGCAGCTCTTTAGAGTATAAGGATTATTTAATTATTAGTCATTCAGCGGATCAGACTCACGAAGAGGAAAATGTGAAAACTGCTCAAGGATATTTATGCATGAATTTAATTGATACCGATCGAAGTTTATATGCAAATGAGTGTGGTTACAAAATGCATTTAAGCAAACTTTTTCCGTCTTCTTGTACACCAAAAAATAACCTTTTAGTGGGATTGTATAATTTGTAATTTGGTAATTTTTTTATGTAATTTTAATTGTTACTTAATAAAGTGACATTTTCCAATGAGTTGTCAAATAAATTAACCCAACCCCATGTACCAGTATCCTCACTATATACAAACTATAAAATGCCCCCCTCCCCAACATGTGAGTATTTTTCAAAAGCTTTTCAAGGATACCATTGTTAATAATTAACTGCACCAGTATAGACGAACGACAATGTCACTTCCGGTTGACCAAAATTTAATCAGTTAGTACCTTGACCGTTGTATACCTATTACTGAACACAATTGGAAAATTCGAAAACAGTTCGTGAGTTTTCATGTACCTACACACAGACGGACGGACAGAAAATCGAAAATCATGAACTCGCTTTTTGTCACTCGTTAATTATAATCACTTTATTCAACCCCAATACCTATGTACATTTTCTTGAATCGTACCTTTCAATTGAATGGTTGGAACTTGGAACCCAAAGTGGGGTCAGGTACTTCACACATGTAACTCCCCTGCCTCTGCACGTAATCTCACGAGACGTTTTTGAAGCGCTGCAGAGTGGCGCCGCTAGTAGCGAAACATTGTCCTAAATGGACACCACCAAACGGAGCGGCGCGTCTACGCAACTTGTAGCGCACTTCCGCTACACAAACGCGCGCAGCAGGTAGCACGCTCCCTTCACACTGCGCGATTCAGAATAGTCACCACGGAAGGCAAGACAATAAGTTTGTTGCGTGGAAAAGCACGCTTACCAAGTGAGGCCGCCGTTCTTTTAAAAAATGGCGTTTAGTTTGAGGAGAGCGTCAATCTAGATGAAGTGGAAAGTGATATCTGTTTTATTTCAGTTTGGCGGGGGTCACCTGCTGCCCCCCCTGCGAAACACGCCACTTGGTAGCGCTGGTGGGCGACTTAGTAGTTGTAACTGCGCCTGCGACACTGTAGCGCTGCAAAGACAGATACCAGATACCAAATTTCGTCGAAATCAGAATTTTTTTCGTACCCCCAAGTAGGGGTGCGTCCTTTTGTGATAGGAATTTTGGAAATTTTTTTTCAAAATCGGATAGGGCATACCCGAAAACCTATTCAAAGACGTGTCACCCATCTTCGTAACTCTTATGGTTGCTGAAAAAAAAATTAAAGAAGAAATCCAAAATTCGCCATTTCTTTGGGGGTGGCTCCCAAACGAAACACGTTGGACCTTCGGTTTATTTGGAAAAAGTGCTCGTCTTGATCTCCTCTATCTCCCGATTTTTTTTACCTGCGGTCATGTAACAAGTTGTAAATCAGTATACAGGGTCATTCTTGACGAGCGTCAGTTAGAAAGATATGGAAAACCTTTGAAAATTAAGCTGAACTGATAAGTCCCTTAGAGGTTTTGGCACATGATGATTTGAACTAAAATATTTTCAAAATGGCGCCACTTCCGGAAATACCGGAAGTAGCCATCAACTTTGTTATTTTAAATAGGGACCCCCTATTTTTTCTACATTTTCGGATTCTACGTCGAATTTGGAGTACAACGATACCCCATAGTTGACCCTTTGCTCCAAGGGCTTCGCCGATATTCAAGTTTTTGTGTCAAAAATTGAATTTGCAGGGGTAACTTTAAAAATTTATTATTCGAAAACGGTGAGAGATATTGCAAAACAGTTTTCAATGCTTTATTAAGGAAAGATCGAATTTTCTTATGGTATGCGTAACAGTCTAAAAAAGTGAGACTACGTCACTTTTTCAAAGCTCTCAACTTTTAAACTTTTAAATATCCGTAACTCCATTTTTTCAAATGACACCCCCCATTTTCTTCTTCACCCTTGTTTTCCTTTTTCCCAGACCTTTAATTTGATGCAAAATGTCAAAAGCTGTTCCAAACGATTTCCGAGATATTCCATGTTTTAGTTACTTCTTGTGGAAAGTTGATAAAAAAATTGAGTCGCTTGATGTTATTCTTTTGTTTTTATTATGATAATGTTTAAACGTCAAATTTTCGCTGCTTGAACTTATACTTCTCGTCAATAATGGATCGTTTGGGTTACACTAATGAAGATTTTTTGAATTTAATATTAATGCACAGTGAATGTAATCGAATAGCTGCCAGGAAAAGCAGCGAAAATTTGACGTTTAAACATTATCATAATAAAAACAAAAGAATAACATCAAGCGATTTAATTTTTTTATCAACACAAGAAGTAACTAAAACATGGAATATCTCGGAAACCGTTTGAAGCAGCTTTTGAAATTTTGGATCAAATTAAAGGTCTGGGAAAAAGGAAAACAAGGGTGAAGAACAAAATGGGGGGTGCCATTTGAAAAAATGGAGTTACGGATATTTAAAAGTTTAAAAGTTGAGAGCTTTGAAAAAGTGACGTAGTCTCACTTTTTAGACGGTTACGCATACCATAAGAAAATTCGATCTTTCCTTAATAAAGCATTGAAAACTGTTTTGCAATATCTCTCACCGTTTTCGAATAATAAATTTTTTTAAAGTTCAAAATTCAATTTTTGACACAAAAACTTGAATATCGGCGAAGCCCTTGGAGCAAAGGGTCAACTATGGGGTATCGTTGTACTCCAAATTCGACGTAGAATGCGAAAATGTAGAAAAAATAGGGGGTCCCTATTTAAAATAACAAAGTTGATGGCTACTTCCGGTATTTCCGGAAGTGGCGCCATTTTGAAAATATTTTAGTTCAATTCATCATGCGCCAAAACCTTTAAAGGACTTATCAGTTCAGCTTAATTTTCAAAGGTTTTGCATATCTTTTTAACTGACGCTCGTCAAGAATGACCCTGTATACATCAGTATTTTAGAAGCAAAGTTTCACATTATCTATCTCATGCGTATCTAACTCAAAATAGACTAGAGCCTGCACATGTACACTATAGCAAAAAGCTTTTAGTGAAAATTTGAAGTCTCGCTAGCTATTGACCTATTGTAATTGCTGAGATCTCAGCCAGCCAGCCAGCCACAACGAATATAATTGCGTATTTTTTTCAAAAATGCGCTAAAAATCAATACAATAACGTGCGAGGGGCATAAGTCCGTACCATGCCTGCCCCACGCGCCCCTTTTGTATGAATTGCGCCTAAAGTAGTTCGTTTCATGGCTCCGGGAACGACATTTTTAACATATTGGAGACCTCTGAAGGTGCAATATTATCATCATACTTTCTTTTATTTGGGACCTTAGTATTTTTGTAGTAATTTGTAATTTTCCGTAATTCCATATTAATGCTATAAAAAAGTAATCTCGGTCGAACTTAAAATAGTAAAATCAAAATTTAAAAATATTCGCTCGATTAATACGAGGGAAAATAAAAAATTGTCAATCCTTTTCACGATTGATGAATAATCTGCCGTTTTCAAAATAAATAGGTGTACGGTGTCGTAAAAAACTTATCTGACCTAACCTTATTTTTTAAATGAAACATCCTTTATATTTAAATACAAAAGATAGCATATTAAATTATCTTTTTTAAAATATAACAGTAAAATCAATATTGATTCTAAAAAATTCGAAAAGTCTTAAAAACAAAATTAAAAAAATTCAAACATTTGTTGCATTTTTTGAATTATCTGTAAGTACTTGTTTTTTTTAAATTTTTTTAAACCTTTACGAATATTAAATGAACTTGTTTGAAGCACTTGAATCTTTTTTTAATATCATATTTGGTTTGTTATATTTTTAAAAGAGAATTTAATGTGCTATCTTATTTTCTGAGATTAAAATATACAGGGTGATCCATTTCAAAAAAGAGATTAAGTTCGATTTTTACCTGACTGTATACTTATTATGGAAACGACAGTATATTCAAAAATCCATTATAAAGAAACTTTTGTAATAAACATTTTTCTGAATCTCTTCTAACTAAGAAAATATAGTCATTCTCAGTGGCGGATCTAGACATATTTTTCGGGGGGGGGGGGGGGGGGGCGGTGCTTTTGTGGATTTTCAAAATTAAAAAATAAACGCTAAGTTAATTTTTTTATTTATAGAGAGTTCATGCGCGAAAATTGTACGCCGCCGCTTTAGGGTAAAAGGTTGTCCATGCCAAACCCCCAATCGGGGAAAATGATGTAAATTTTTTATATGGATGGGGGGGTCACCGGCCCCCTGTGACCCCCCCCCCCCTAGATCCGCGCCTGGTCATTCTGAAATAGAAAAAACTGTAAATATATAAGTTGCGGGGTTTATCATAAATCGCTAGAAAATGTACAGTTATCACCTGGTTACCGAGTGAAATACATTTTTTAGCCATCTTAATATGTAAACAAACACATTGCAAATGGGTTGCCTAAAAAAATTAAGTCATTCAGTTCACGACCTTGGGATTTCCCAGATTACATCACAAGGTCATGACTTTGGAATTCCCCCGATTACCTCACAAAGCTATTGGGATCTTACTAAGGTCATGATCTTTGGATTTCCCCGGTTACGTTACTAGGTCGACCTTGGGCTTTCACCGAGGAAAGGTCATGGCCTGGGTGAAAGGGATTTCCCGGTTGCGTAACCAAGGTACCTTGTTTATGACCAAGATCATGGTCTTGGTGCTCTAAATAACGCGTGACCTTTGTTTTATGGTACGCTATTATTGCAATCTATGAGATGAGTGCGAACAGAGCAAAATCAAAAGCGTTCAATAAACAAAAATAAGATGACAGAAATATGCTGTACTTATTGCAAAGCCTAAAGGTGGGTTCATAGCTATCCGTTGCGTTGATCCGTCAAACGGATAGTACATTTTGTTAAGGTTTATAGCAATCCGTCCACATTGTACATTTGCAAGTATATCCATAACCTAAACTTTATTTTGTACTGTACCCTCCGTGATTTTCAGTATGTGAAAATGGTACGAAAGTAAGAACACATTGCTATCTGATTATTACCGTGGAGAACGAATAGGCGAACGCTGTTAACATACCAGACATAACCTCACTCTTGTTAAAAACGGACCAACGGAAACGTAAATGTTCAACTTCAACCAACTTTTCCGTCGTAAACGGACGACGTACGATTTCAAAATTTGCTGTCTTCTGATTGGCTAACGGACAAACGGAAACGTATGAACGGAG